CTCACCGGCTCAAGGCTGAGTCAACCTTGAGCCGGTGAGATTAGAACCACTGAACTGCAGATAACAGTCAGCTGGAGTGGCCTGCAGTACTGCACTCTAACCACTGCACCACCTGGGCTCTGAACGAATGATGCTTTTATACTTTCCTAATGCTATCTGTAGATATTACATTTTTATATATTGTTTTAAGTTTTTTTGTTTTAAGGGTTTTTTTTGTTTTTTTATAAGCTTGAATGAATTCATTGCTTTATAATTTTATAACCAGGTTAAAAATCAATAGTATTTTTAGGCGGACAAGTATTTTCCATTTCTAACTACCTTCCATCTCCTTTGTTTGTTGCTAAGATTTATATTCCAGGAAGTCTTACTAATAAGACCTAGCAACAGTTTCCAATTAGATGATAAGATTTCCGGCTATTTGCCAAATTTAAGTCTGTGAAGAAAAACAGGACTATCTTGAATTCAATGAAATAGGCTTTGACCCCCCTGGTCTAAAGGCTTCCCTTCTCACTCCTTTCTTATCACCCTCTGTTAATGCTAGGTGGTTTTTTAAAAAAATTAGTTTGTCTACAAAAATGTTACTCTTTCCATGTGAAATTTTGCATAGTAGATCAAACCAAGAAAAGAACAGAGAAATATCTTAAGAACAGTAGGCTGTCCTGTTATCTGCTTTGATTTGCGAAGTTACTAAAGTAAATGCTTTTACTATATGACCTCAAACATCTGAATGCAAATATTTGTTTTAGATTAACAAGATTAACTTCTAAGATATTGCTGAAGATCTGATTCAGGGAGATTCACATTGCTGAATTATTATTCCATTGTTTCATAACTACGTTTTGTAAAAAGCTACATGTGGATGTCTCCTGGATTTGTTTTAACCATATGAAAAACAGATAATTGTGGAGTCTCACGTAAATTACGTCCACTTATTTCAATACTAGTTATTTTGTTTTGTGTCATTTTTGTAATATGTCTGTGACCCTAGCCCTGATTGTATGGATCTTAGCCCCATAGATTTTAAATAGAGCAAACAAAATTAGGAATGAAATAGCTTGTTGTTTGACAAATTAGTGTGGATAATGTTCACTAACTTTACACATATTTATATATAACATATATTACATGCATTTTATATACAGGCAAAATAGCAATCATTTTAAAATATTATTTAATTCTAATCAATATTACTCTCCACCATTACTTTGTTGAATTAAGAGTTTACTGTACCATTACACTGGATTGATCCAAAGGCCACTCCCAATGCACTATTTACAACCAAAATTTACAAAGCTGTTTAGGAATCAGATTATGCTACAACATTGCAACCCTCATTTATACTACAATATGCTCTCAGCCATCAAAAGACTTGTGTTTTTCCACTTTTAAATTAGCAATTGAATACAAACACACAGATGGTTCTAAGGGCATCCAGAATTCAAATAAGCAAATGACGCTAGTTTGAAAAGAAAAAATTAAAAAAACATTTTAAAAGCCCATTTGCAGAGAGGAAATTGAAGATGTGATATTTGAAAAACGGAATTATTACTTTAGGAAAACTATACTGGACATCCGATTCCTTTCCTTTTTTAAAATACTACTTTTCTAATTATTCTCTAGTGATAAAAATTTTTATATATTGCATTAAAAACTACATTAGCAGGTTTTGTAAAGTTCATGTTCCCAATACAGTGGTAATATATGGAGTGACAGTTTCATATTGAAACCCAGGAGCAAGCCCATTCTGTTACTCCACAACTCAATGGCATCAGAAAGCTTTACCCCTTACATTTTTGAGAGAAAGGATTTCTTTTTCTTAATGCACTTTAGTTTAATAATTTGCACAAGTGATTGATGGAGGCAGGAATTTCCTACCCTACGGGAAAAAATACTGATATACTCTTTCTTCTTGCCTGTTCCTTCTCCACTCCTTATGGCAGAGAGACACCTGATGTCAGCTTCTGCTTTGCTGTTGCTTCAGCTGCCATTGAAACGGGGAGGGAGGGCATAGTATTTGGGTGGGGTTACTTATTGTGCTGGAGGAAGATTCTGGAGGTCTTTGGATGGACGTACTACGCATGCGTGGATGTTTCCCGCCTGAGTTAACGGCACCGACATTCCATCTTCGTGATGTCTTTTGAAGTTATCTCACACCTGACACTTGAAGGACTTATGATTGGACTAGGCCTATGATGCCAGGGGGAGTGGAATGGGCTATTCTATATATCAACTGCTTTCGCGCCTAATTAACCAGACTTTGCTATGCAACCGCTCTTTAACCATTTTTAATTAGTAAAAGTACATTTGATTTTCTACAAATGGAGTCTCATGGTCTTCTTTCCTAATTATTAAATGGAGAGGTGCTGACACCTGATTTCTGTATCTGCAGGACTGCTGCTAACCTGTGAGTTAGCTTTGTGCAAAAAGTGTTCTGTCACTCCTCAACAGCCCTGTCTCCTCTATTGCCTGGGCTACATAAGCTGTGCAGGAGGCCCTATCTACCATTCCACCTTTTGTGCTGCCTCTTAATGATGTCAGTGCAAAGCATGTGGAAGACATAGGAAGGGGCAGAGGAACATGGGTTACTCTTTTGTCGTCATTGTCATCCCCGCAACATTGTGGTTTCCAGCCTATTTCTATTTAGGGAGTACAAGTTGAATTAATCTGCTACCCCCTCCTCTTTTCATTAATGTAACCTCTAAAACATCCATCTGGCACCCACCTGTCATGTCTTTGGCAATGCACAACTTGCACACCTGCTTGGAGCAAACCTGCCTATATCCTATCTCTTCCTCTGTTTGTGTCTGCCTTCTTTACCTCTGTGACTGCTTTCTTAGAGGAGGCCTGCCAGTTTAATGCAAAAATAATACCGAACGCAAAAGCAGTGGCAGTTCCAGAGGGCATTTTTAAAAACACATTATGTTTTCTTTTCAAAGGAGAAATAATCATGCCTGGAGGGCCCTAGACTTCTATGCAAAGTTCTAATCATCTGACAAGATGAAGAGAGGCAATGAGAAGGGAGAATGAGTGCTGACTTATTTTATTGTGGCTGCCATAGGAAAAATAGCACCAAAAGCAACTTTCAGTCTGCCAGTGTTTTGCATGCTGTTTGCTGAAGCATTTAAGAACTGAAGAAAAACTGATTCTAAGGCAAGAACTTTCCCCACTCCCTCCCCAACTCTAGTAAATAAGAACAGCTATCTTTAAAACCACATAAATAAAGGAGAGATTCCAGGAATTATGTGAAAATGAATTCAAATGAAAAATTATGATTTTATACATTGTTAATACATTGTTATACATGTATAAACATATAAGGCTCTATGGTAATTTAAACTGACATATTATGATTTAATTATTAATTCTTAAAACTACATTCTATATTTATTTTCTGTGCAAGCCTAATCCCAACAACAGTATTCACTTTATTCAGGGAGGATTGTGACATTCATTTTAAAAAGTTACAGTATTGCAAGTTTTGGAGATTTCCTGGCTTAAGGCTAGTTTACATTTGAGATTTTAAAAGCTGCTGAATATTATGATATAACTCAAGCTTCATTCTACAGGAACTGGAAAAAAAGTTTATTCAAAATATTATTGTGAGCTTAATACCTTTATTTACAGTAGATGTTGAACTTGATTTAAAACTAATCCTATTGTAACCTTAAAACTACATACACACACACACACACACAAACACACACACTCCTGAAACCAAGTCAAGTTTACTTATTGAAAACTAACCTGAAAGAATGAGGGTGATATTTAGCACAATGAATATTCCACAGAACAATCCGACCCTGAATGTTGTCCATGCTGGTGCAGGCTGTAGAGAGAACAGAAAAGTTTTTATCTTAAATATCTAAGATTTTAAAAGATTGTACTGATATTATCAAACTTACTGACGTATCAGTTTGCAGGCAAACCAATGATTGAATTCCTTTCTGCAAACCGAATTCATTTATGTAGCTGCTGTGCTTATTAATTAAAGTTAATCTTAGACCTAAACTATATATGGTGAAGATATGCGTCTAAATCTCCCGAATCTTACTTATACTCAAAAGGACGACTATCCTGCTGGCAAAGAGATATTGAGGAAGGAGATGCAGGAGTTTAATGCTTTCCTTCCACTGTAATTTTCTCTTAAGGTTTGTGTCTGAGCTGCTGCTTGTTCCGGTGAGAGAGAAAAATGCAATTATCCGAGCAAACGGCAACATTTTTATGGATGAAAATAAGTCCAATTTAGGGAGACATACTGAAGTCTTTACAAATACTTTTATACTTGTTTTATACTTTTAGAGCAAGCTGTTTACTTGCTCTAAAGTACAAATAAATATTGAGAAGATTGAGTTATAATTTTGCTTTGTAAACACTGCACAGCTATTATATGTGGAGATGAGCAGCAATACATTAATAATGGTCAAAAGGGGGCTTTCATAACACCAGGGAGGGAATTAAATAGTTCAAGACATTGTCAGGTTGTGTGGGCCCTAGCACAGTCCTAGTTATACCCCATTATTACTAATAAGAATATAGTTATTGTTCGTTGCTATTTATTTATATCCTGTCTGTACCTTTTTTTTTAATAAACAAGTCATGGTGGCAAATATATCTAATACTCCTTCCCCTTCCTACAGTCCACGCAACAGCCCTATGAAGTGAATTGGGCTGAGAAAGAGTAACGGGCCCAAAGCCACTCAGTCAGGTTTCATGTCTAAGATGGGACTAGAACTCAAGAGTCTCCTGGTTTTTAGCCTGGTCCCTTAATCCACTAGACCAGGGTTGTCAAACTCGTGTCGTCACGGTGGCATCACGTGACGAATGGTGGACTCTTTTCCCCTTCACTAAACTGGACTGAGGCAGGGCCAGCAAGTAACGCATCTGACCCACGGGCCACGAGTTTGACACCACTACATTAGACCAAGTGGACTATAACTATACTATACTATATACTATACACTATACCAGTGTTTTTCAACCTTTTTTGTGCAAAGGCACACTTTTTTCATGAAAAAAATCACAAGGCACACCACCATTAGAAAATGTTAAAAAAAT